TTTAGTGCTCAGATCCCTCAGACCCAAGACTTCCTGCATAAACCCCTCAGGTTCAAGACTTCTGCTCAAGCCCCTCAGCCCCAAGACTTCTTCTTAGATTCCACGAATCCAAAACATCCTGCTCAGACCCTCGGTCCAAGACTTCCTTTCTCAGATTCCATAAACCCAAGACTTCTGCTCAGACTCACAGTCCAAGACTTCTTGCTCAGTCAATCCACTTGATTAAGACTTTCAATGCTCTAGCACATAGCATGAGACTTACATGGCTCAAGCATCTTAGTGAGAGACTTAGGTTATCAATCAATCCACTTGATTAAGACTTTCAATGCTCTAGCACATAGCAGGAAACTTACATGGCTCAAGCATCTTCGCGAGAGACTTAATCTAAACTGCTAAACAACATGTTCAGCATAATAGAAACAGGGTGTAATTGATACAAACATCAGAGGTACAGGGAAATCATCATAACAAAGACCTAAAGCTATTAAGATTTTTAAAATATTCAATGTTTAAGAAATCTTAAGGTTTTTATATTTTATAACTAATAACAGAAAATTATGCATACTTGATTGTGTTGCTTCATTGTTGATCATGTTATTCCTCCATATGGTTGATCCTTGTTAAATATTCAGTTTGAACCTTCAGCAACATATATAGCAGTTGCAGAAGACTAGTCGTTGGAAGAGATAACTTGGTCAAGTGTCTTTACTTTCTCCATAGTACAAGAGACGTTGGAGATAGATACACCAAAATATCTTGATACATTGTGTAACATGTTTAACCATTTCGTCTTTCATGAGATCTTGTACTATAGATTCTTTGAGAGTAGATATATGTAAAGCATATCAACTCTTCTCGAACCTTGTGATCTTAGATTCTAGCTAACAAACTGACTTGACAGTGCAACTTGCTTTCTATAGTACAGATAGCTTCAGCTTTATCACTAATTCTGAATAATCACCGGAAGCCAATAACATTCACCAAGTGTAGAGACAATATGTTTCTTCTTCTAATGCTGAGACCTTTACCTTCAAAGTCTATGCCAAACATCACTTAGAGAGTGATCTTCAGATTCTGCACCACCAGAAGCTAGTAAATCATATTTTCTCAAGTGCGTCATTATATCATATTCTGAATGTATATCTTTAAGCATTCGAACATGCATACTTAAAACACACACAAAATAATACCATTGTTCTTTTAATAATTTTGTTATCATCAAAACCCAAGGATTATATGTCATGAACAAATCTTGTTCTAACAGGAAATGGTATGTATTCTCTATATCCAAACTGACACATACATCTGTCAGGTAAGTATAGTAATTGTGTCAATACCATTTCAAGTCACCCCCGTACAGACATATATCATCAAATGGACGGTGATGTCTATGATCCTCAAAAGGGCGCCCAATGACATCAACATGTGTCAATGCATCTAACACAGACCTAAGCTATCAACCTTATGTGCGCCTTGCTTGTATACCCATTTCATTGCCCTTGGAAGTGGACTACTGATACCAACAATATTAGACAACCCTCTCTTGCCAACAATTGGAAAATACTCATAAATCCAACTGTGTTACATAACATGAATATTATCAATAAAAATTATTATAAATAAGTAAATATAAGTCAAAATAAAATTAAATAAAATATTTGTACTTATAGCAGAAAGGCATGTCCGCCAATTTACTTGCAAGTAAAAAAGGAAGCATTTCCTAGATATCTGTAGAGTGTGACAAGTGCAGTTGCCCCCAACAATATCTACCATATCCAGGCAAGTCCCTAAATAGTGGTAAATATTTCCTCTCTACAAAATTAAAAGTCTTGTCGGCAAAAATGGTCCGACTTACCAAAAACAGCATATAGGCTCTAACAACACAATCAAATCTACTTTCAGCTCGTTGACGCATAAATATCTCCTTCAACAAATCCAACCTATAATAAGCACCCCTACAATTACGAACCTCTTCAACTGTTTCCTCCAATGAAACACCCAACAGATCAATAGCAAGAATAAGAACATCAGCATCAGTGAAACCTCATGTAGGGTTACAGAACTCCTTCTACACAGTAAATGAAGACGACTAGAAACATCGTCCAATATAATGGTCATCTCGCCAAATGACATATAAAAGGACGATGTTTCTGGATGTCATCTCTTTATAAATGCTAATACTAAATTTTGATTTATCCTCGACACGCCGATTCTCTATAGAGAGGATAGACCAGAATCAGACAACTATTTCTCTATCAACGATGGGAGTATGCAGAACTCATTCTATCAATTTGCCACCATGTGCAACAATCTTTAATTCTTTCTTCAGATTTCTCTCCTAAAAGTAATTTATAATATATGTTATAAAATACAAGTAATTAAAATTATCAATTATTCAATATAAAATGATAGAGATTAACTTACTTCGTCGAACCACAAATGACGAGAAACATGATTCTTATACCTCGTCAGAAGAGACGTGTCGAATGGCCCTCCAGGGAATTGTGGCTATGAAGGTGAGAAAAGTACACAAGAAGGGGGGTTGAATTGTGTTTTCCGTTTTCTTAGTTTGCATCTGATTAGAGTTCAGAACCTAAACGGGTGTTCAAATTCTGGTTAATTCTTAGCAGCGGAATGTTAATAGAAGCAAATAAATAATAGTATAAAACACAAAGATTATGATTACAATCGCTTATGTATTCTGCATAAGACTTTTACAAATGCTCAGACCCAAGGTTCAAGACTTCTTTCTCAAGCTACACTCGAGACTTCTTACTCAGGTTCCACGAACCCAAGACTTCCTTGCTCAGACTGTCAGCCCAAGACTTCTACTCAAGTCCTTCTGACCCAAGACTTCTACTCCAAGTCCTATGAAACGAGCCTCCCTGCTTGAACCCCTTTGGTTCAAGACTTACTGCTCCAGTTCCATGTATTGAGTTCACTAGCTCAAGTCACACTAGCTCAAGACTTTTGCTCCAGGTCCAATGAAACGAGTCTTCCTGCTTGAACCCCTTTGGTTTAAGACTTACTGCTCCAGTTTCTTGTACCGAGCCAACCTGCTCAATCAATCCGCTTGATTAAGACTTTCACAACTCAAGCACATTGCAAGAGACTTATGTGACTCAAGCATCTTGGCTCGAGACTTCCTTGCTTGTATCCCAATGACACGAGACTTCTGCTCAATCAACCTAGTTGATTAAGACTTTCACAGTTCAAGCACATAGCAAGAGACTTATGTGCTTAAGCATCTTAGCTCGAGACTTTCTTACTTGTATCCCAATGACACAAGACTTTTATCTAAATTTCTAAACAAGTTCAGTAAAATAGAAAACAAGGTGGACTTGATACAAGTATCAGAGGTACATAAAATCACCATAACAAAGACCTAAAGCACTCAAGATTTCTAAGATATTCAATGTGTAAGAAATCTTAAGGCTTTTACAATTACAACGTACAACAAAAAATCTGCATATATAGTAGTGTTGATAATTTCTGATCTTGTTACTCCTTCTGGTTGATCCTTATTAAAAATTTTGTTTGAACATTCAGCCATATTTATAGCCTTTTCAGAAACTAGTCGTTGAAGAGGTAACTTGATCAAGAATCTTTGATGTTACTTCATAGTACAAGAGACGTTGAAGATAAATACACCAAAACATCTTGATCCAATGTGCAACATGTTTAACCTTTGAGTCTTCAAGAGATTTTGTACTATTAGAGCCGTTGAGAGTAGATATCCATAAAGCATCTCAGCCTTTCTTGAGCCTTGCAATCTGTAGAGTCTAACTGACAAACTGATTTGACAGTACAACTTGCTTTTTGCATTACGGACAGCTTTAGCTTTATCACCAACTCTGAAAGGTACCGGAAACCAATTTGCATTCACTAAGTGTAGAAAAAATTATGTTGCTTCTTCTGATGTTGAGACCTTCAACTTCAGAGTCTACGCCAGACATCACTTAGCAAATGTTCTTCAGATTCCGCCACCAAAAGTTAACAATTCAGCAACTCTCAAAGTGACTTAATGTAAAATAGATTATGGCTATAATATTTATAAGTATTAGAACCTGCACATATGTAACACACATCAAATAAACCATTGTTCTTTCAATACTTTGTTATTATCAAAATTCAAAAAAAAAATGTCATGAACAAATCTTGTTTTAACTAACTGTTGTGGACGAGGCTCAGATGCGACCATTTGATGTTCCTCTCCATCTGTCGCCTATCGGAGTTGTCGTCCTTCACCCGCTCGTTGATAAATATTCCTGACACGACCTCTAATGTGTGCCACTAAAAATTACAACAAAAAACAATTAAAGTTAAAAACAAGAATCAAATAACTTTGAACTAAATTCTCCTGATGAAATAAAAAAAATCCGAATAACCTTGATGCTAATTTTTCGGTGTACAACTTTAAGAATCGAATAACGTGGTTAAGAATTATCCAGTCAAAATAGATGTGAACTGAATTATTATATGACAAATTATCTGATGTGCAAATTTTTCCTGAATCAACAGAATAACCTATAAGTTTTTCACGTTGTAAAAACTGAAAAACCAAAGTTATCTAATATGTTATTGAAACGAATATCTTAGGTGTGTGATTTCTGGTTTTCGAGTGATCTCGCTTTCTCTAAAATGAATTGATAAAAAAAAGTGAAAAATAAAAAATAGGTATTTATATAGAAGTATTTTGGTCCATTTTCATAATTTGTAAGAGGTAGAGGGCAAAATAAAGGGATATGGGATAAAATTTTCCAATTCATAGTAGCTGCTACTTATGCTAATTTATTGTCAATTTAATTTAATGTCAATCAATACTTCCAAGTTCTCTATCCAAAATTATCATTCCAAGAATTCAAAAAAAAAAAAAACATTACTACATCATATCATAAGAATAGTGCAATTGTAATATTTTGTCTAACTGAGACTTCGAAACAAATGTGAAAGCTGTACAAAAAGGTTGTGATTAATAGTGGGAGTGAAGTGAATGAGAATCAGGGAACACGCTCCAATACTCGTTGTATTGCCTTTTTTATGCCTTCCTGATCAAGTGATGTTTTCAGAACTATCTCCTGCACCTGGACGGATGGAACACAGGCTCCATTATTATAACTTCCTCAACAATTTCTATATACATCTTTATAAGTAAAGAAGCTGTGTCCAGATACCAGTGCTGAAGGTGATGATCATATGAGGAAACTCATATATAGCAGTAAGTAACAAAAATTGTTATTTGACTAAAGAAATTTACCTGTCTTCCAGCTCGAGCAAGGAGAGTAAACCTTTGGTACAAGGGAGGTTCCTACAATGAGGAAGGATTCAGAAATTAGAAGGACAACTTCTCCACATATCGATATAAAATAATGTCAGAAAACTCACATTAGAAAGCCAAAGCTGCAAGTCTGGTGAGACCACTTGTTTTTCAAGCCCCTGTCGGCTGATTCTTGCATCGTATATGCTGTCACACAAAAGTCATTACTTCATAATGTATATGGATTTCAACAATTTGAATTACTTCAACATATTATGTAACTCATCACATATTTATAGACGCAAGAACTAAAACAATCCCGTGACATCAATATTTAATTCTTTCAATAAACCTACAAGATTTGTTCAGCATCTTACTTTGACACAATAAATCAACACAAGGAAAACAAAGGTGAGACTACATTGTGGTGGAAAATATTTTACTAAGGGCTTTTTTTCCCCAACCAAAAAGGGCTTTTTTTCCCCAACCAAAAAATTATGTTAAACTCCATGCATCACTAGTTTTGTCAGTAAATGGATCGCGGTAGCAATCACAGGAAAGTTAGATCAACATTGATATTTAATTGTGAAACTAAAGATATCCCTCACACTCCATCATGTTCCAATATAATAGCATTGATCACACAACTCACATGCTCCCTCACTAAGTGTCATGTCAGCACTCTCAATGAGATTCATCCTAGAGTAGACTAACCACATAATGAGCTTGGACAACAACAACAAAACATATGTACTAATTTCTTATCTGGGCCCATATTATCTTTGGGGTCCTATCAGATTCAGATAATTCGGATGTAGACTAGTGTTTACTATAGACGACCCAATGAGTGTAATGATGAGTTAGCAAAGAAATCTCTCATTCCAATCTGATTGGTTTTCATATTTTAAAAAGAGCGTTAGTATAATAAAATACAATTACAGCATAAAGTATCAATTAATTATTAAAAACTGCTTTAAAGTTTAAGTTAGGTTTTAACCCTCTCTTTATATAATCTCAGAATGTGTGGTTGAACCTAACTCAATCTTATAAAACCGGTTTGTAACGTGAGGATTATCCCCACTTATAAACATAATTCCTTCAAACCCAACACCATAAAGGTGTTGGAGGCTACAATGAAGGCAAGTCAAATGCTGCAATTTAGGCGACTGAGGGCGAACTGCAATGAAAGCAGAAATTTCAACACATAGCCTCATGCTCAGGACTCAATGGGGCCACGTGGACGGTGCAGGAAACCAATCAAATGATCTAGGATAGGTTCTGATACCATCTCAGAATATGTGGTTGGACCTAACTCAATCTTACAAAACCGACTTGTTGCGTGAGAATTGCCTCCACTTATAAAAACAACACAGGTTATATCTCTAAGAGATGCAATGTGAGACTAAATCCACTGCATCACTCAACACAATGAAGGTGTCGGAGGTTGCAATGAAAGCAAGTCAAATGCTGCAATTTAGGCGACAAGAGGGCGGACTGCAATGAAGAGTGAAATTCCAACACACACTTTCACGCTCGGGACTCAATGAGGCCATGGACAGTGCAGGAAGCCCATCAAGTGATCTAGGATAGTCTCTTATACCATCTCAAAGTGTGTGGTCGGACCTAACTCAACCTTACTGACAAAACCGACTTGTAAGGTGAGAATGACGTCCACTTATAAACACAACACGGATCATATCACTAAGCAATGTGGGACTAAATTCACCCCTTCAAACCCAACACAATGAAGGTGTTGGAGGCTACAATGAAAGTAAGTAAAATGCCTCAATTTAGACGACTAGGGACGGACCGCAATAAAGACATAAATTCCAATATATAGGATAAGGAGAAATCTTCAAGTAGATACAAGAATTATGTAAAACTCATAGAGCAAGCAGTTTCCAGTAAACAATAGTCAACAACAATAATCATTTCCCATTAGGTGGGATCCTTTACAATAATAATATGACATTATTTATAATGTCCTATCATAAGTAATCTACAAAGACAAAACTTGAAAATCTAATTCTATCTTTATTAGTCTGTCTACAATACTACTTGATAACCTTTTAACTATCACTTATCTGATTTGCTCTCTTTATTGGACTTCATCTTTTCAACACTCAACCGACTAAGATGGTGTTTGGACTAATGGAATAGAATGAAGCAGAATGGAATATAATCTCACTCCATTGTTTGAATATTTTATTAATAATACATCATTCCATTACATAAACTTCAAATCGTATGAAATAAACAGTGAAGGATTGGATGGGATGGAATCGATTTCATCATGTTCCATTTCACTCCATCCATTATTTGCAAATCCAAACAATGGAATCTTACTATTTAACACTCTATTCCACCACATACCACCAATCTAAACATAGCCTAACACCGAGATTTTACCATCTTTTCACAATTTAGTCCTCCCCTGACTTTCCTTTAATACATAAAGCCTAATCTTATCTTATCTTGCCATCTATGCCTACTCATCCCCAACTTAACAAAATCATCTACCTTTTCATTGAACTTTTTTGTAATTCTCTTTCCCATGCAGCATTCAAGGGTGTCTCTTGTAATGGGATAAGGTATGGTTTCTTTTTGGTTCTAGAGAAATTTCAATTCCTAAATATAGATTAAGTAGCTGCTCACAATTTTTAGCCACTTTGGCACTTGCTTCGTTTTTAGGTTTTCTTATCCATAGTCATTGTTAACTTATTACTACCTCTCCTTTCTTTGTAATAATATATTACCACTCTACCAAAAGAAATATTGAATGTATCTCTGATTTTTTGGGTATTTCAAGTAGTTAAATACTTCAAACAGTTATCAAAACATACCCATCTTCCTGCAGTAGCTCCTCAAGAATTGTATCAAGGCCTGGTAGGGGATCAATGCGACTGCTAGTACCGCTGAAAGAACCAAAATCAGCTGAACCATCCTACAAAATAAAACCTGGAGTTACAAAAACGTCCAGAGACAGGCACATATCCACAAACATACACATACAGACAGACAAGACTTGCATTCAGATATCCATCCATATTCATGCATATATAAATTATACATATGAATGTAGCTTTTTAGTTTATACTCCCTCCATCCCAAATTATAAGACTTTTTGGACATTTCACGTGAATTAAAAAACATAATCAATGTTGTATTGGAAAGAGAAATCATACATAATTTTACAATATTGTTCGTCATTTGTTATAGATGAAAGAAAAATTTAAAGAATTGGAAAAAAGAAATAATGATAAATGATATAGGACATATTGGGGAAAATGTCATTAATGTTGCATTGGAAATGTAAAGTGACTTATAATTTGAGACAATTTTTTTTGACAAAGTGACTTATAATTTGGACCAAAAGGAGTATTGAGTACACACTTAGTTTATACAGACCTGGGGTATTACTTTGTCCAGAGTTTCTAGAAGTGGATCTTCATCTAGCTGTTTAATTGAAAGCTTAAGCCTCAATCTTACACTGCAAGATCAAGTTGCAAAAAAAGTCAGCATACATGTAATGAAGTCCTTTCATGTGGCTTCACATAACATAACTTAAGTATTTGGGGTAGTTTATGACATGGTATTGGAGTCTCTATAGTCTACAGTTTGATCTTCATCGCCTCATTATTGCAAAGAAAATATAAATTTCTGAACAAAAAAGTAGGACGTCACATGCACTCAACAACTTAGAAACAGAGAGAGTTGGCTTGAGACAAAGAAAAACCAATAGCCTCACAATATTTAAGGCCAACGGCGTCGCTAATTACTATACATAGATATTGGGCAACCAACAAGCTCTGTAATTCAATGATATTAAAACATGTCTTTAGTCTTCCAGCAAAATAATAAATAGATAATTCCTTTAGAAGGCATAACTATTGGGAATCTCACCTATCAATGCCAATAACTTTGACAATCACTTCATCGCCTGGTTTTAAGAAATCTCTTACATCTTGAACTAGATCCCATGACACTTCTGAGATATGTATTAACCCGGTAAGGTGATAAAGACCTGCAGCATCCTGTGGTGTCAGTTGTGACTTTTATATGATGAAGTGAAAAAGGATAGCATAAACATATATGAACTATGCACAGTAGTTACCGTCACGGAAGCGCAGATAAACAAAAGCACCATAGTTCTCAACAGAACCAACTCTTGCTTCAAAAATGTCCCCTATGTTGATATATTTTAAATATTTAGACCATGTAGCTTGCTTTTCAGATAAGACCAAATTATTTTTCTCCTCCTCTACTTTAATTACCTAAAGGAAAACGAAACTGCCATCATTTATGTATTTAAAACAATCCTTTGTTCAAACATAGCAAGCGGGTTGAACATATAATAACCAAACTCTGCATGAACAAAGGATTATGATGTCAAACAGATGCTGGAAGCGCTAAATACTTACAAAAATAAGAGATACAATACTTAAGAGTATACATTTCATGGTTCAGATAGTGTTAGAAATGGATCAAACAATATGGCTCTTGTAGTGCAAGAACATACATTGGTTTTCAAGTTTCCGGGAATAATAGATAGATACGCCACAGAAAGTGTTGGGTTCACGCAGAATAATAAGGCATTCATTAGTTAAATAAAATAAATACCATTACTGCTAAGATGGAACCGATCATTTTTTCCGCAATATCTTGAATAGGTTTATCTGGTTCTGCATAAAAAAGGATCAATATTGCAATAAGTCAGTAATGGCAATTGCGGCTGTAATTATGATTAAAAATATATAACAGTTCACACGTACTAATTGAGTGTTGAAATACAAGTTATAACCCTTGAGATACCTTGACATGAATAGACTGGGCTCAAGTGTGGGAATGGGAGAAACCCCATGAGAGAGTAAAACCGAATAAGCAAGCCTCCAGTATTCAAACCCTCAACCCTACCGTAGTAAATGAGTTTACTATCTTTGTATGCGATTGCAGACTTCCAATCTGACGATCTCTACTTCATTACAGAAATGAAGTTTTAGAACACAACATATACTAAATTGGTATTAAGTGACACCAATATCTATTCAATATTTCCTAGTTTAATATATAATAAAAAGGTTATACAGAAATGGCAGACATACAGGTAACAAGTTGCTACCAATGAAAAACTGATTAGAGTATAAATTACTAGCTAAGTAGCAACTTAAACTCAATCAAATCATAAATGCTAGGTTAAGTACTAATATTATTATTACGAAACACTAATCTAATCCCTAACACATGCAAGGAATAATAATGAATGAGTAAGCATTGAAATGAAGAAATACAGACCAGAGCTTGGTAAAGACTCTCGTCTGAGTTAGGATGATAAGGGCGTGGAAGAAGAATAGTGTCGACTTCATCAATTTGAGTATCATCGTTAATAGAGACGGAGATTTTAGAAGTGTGGTGATTATAATGTCGATGCCAGTGGCAAAGTCGGAACTTGCGGGGGTATTTTAGGGAATTTAATGGGTTGAGGATAGAATAACAAGAGTCGAGTGGTTGTGATTGTGAAGATGAGAGAAAGGAGATGCCACCGAAGGAACCTAGGGTCGCAGAGAAGGTGACCATTGTTGTTTTGGAGTTGAAACCCAAGAACTTAGCGTTCGGGAAGAAACTACAGTGAAAAGATTTGGATTGGATTTTGGATATTATTAACCGTAGAATTTATTATATATATATCAATGCTTGAAACTCTCACATTCATTCAAACTTATATTATTGGAGTTTTTGGAGTTTATGCTCTTTAAGCATCTTATCTATTCAAATTTCACTTTCTTATCCATTTGATTTTATAAAAAAAAATTTAATTTCTTTATTTTTTTTTATGTTTAGATTTTCAGTTAGTTGTTTTAGATACATTAAAAAATTTCTCCCCTTTTACCTTAGAATTGCGGAACTTCTAAACTTTTGGTTTTGGTGTATCCTCCTAGCTCTCCCTCTTCTAAACCCTTGCCTAAACTCTTGCTAAATTTTACGTACAATTTTCCCAAAACCTATTTTCCTCTCAATTTCTCTATTTAAATAACACAAATAAAACCTAATTCTTGTTTCTAATTTTACTCATGATACTCGCACTTCTCGTTAATTATCCCTCAAGTCCCAAAACTCTATTAAACTTCTAATTTCTACTCCATACTCTATTTTCTCAAATTAAATAATTAAATCAATTAAAGTTAAATAAAAATCCAATTTTATATCTAAAGGGTGTGAGGGTGTGCTCTCTTATCTTAGGCCATATACCCCTAGACACATACAATAAAATAATTCACCAACACGTCATAAATTTAATTAAAATAGCACAATTAATTAAAATGTGAAATGGGGTGTTACAACTTCTATTTTCTCTCTATTATTGATGATTCATAGGTGTTGACCAAGTAACTTCAAACACAAAAGGGGAATGAATTGTGATAAAAAAAAGTTTCTAATACTTTTAAGAAAAATGTTGATTTCATTTGATTAACTTGAAGAAAATATATGAATTGATATTGTTCTGGACTGGGCCTGGACATTCTCATTCGTCGGGCAGGCCCAACACCATGTTGGGAAGGCCTAACAAGGCCCAATTCTCCCATGTCGAGCATGAAGCCACATACGTCGGGAACACGACTCCCTTGTCGGGCAGATCCACACATCTTCCTCACGTTCTCCACATGCTCCCACCATGCGAGGACTCGTCACCAGGCAACTACCCACCTCCGAAAGAGCTAGTTAGCCCACCTCCCAGAGATCACTGGACACTTGATCTAGGGCGAAGACCACGTACTGGTCTTCACTACGCCACATAAGCCCTATCAGTTGCTTGGGTTGGGTCTAGCAATCTGGCCCAATCCAAGTAACATTTGGCCCTACGCTAGGGTCTCTCTATAAATACCCTCTTTCACTAGAGGGTCAGGTATTTCATTCTACACCTATTTCTGTATTTGCTCTCCCACTCTGATTCTTTACCCAATTAATCATCGGAGTGCCTTGCAGGTACACCGCCCTCCTTCTCCCTACCTCCGGTGACAGTTACCAGTCGACGACGCGTGGCAGACCAGTGATCTCCTCTAATAAGATACGCTCAGTGGCGCCGTCTATGAGAAACTAAAACTTCCCCGTTCTTCCAAGCAGTAGAACCAAAGCTTTCATCAATTTCATCAACTTCCGAGATCATGACCAGCCCACGCCATGACGATGTTATCCATAATTCCGCCTTCGGCCCACTCACCATCGAAGAAGACCATGGTGGGCCGGTCGACAACCATGATGGCAACATTAGGGATGGGCAGACTGCCTCTCCTTTGTCTGACGATGCGACACGCAACATCGCCCCTTGAGCAAGGAGCCCGATTATTTTCCAGCCCGTCCCTATGCCAGCAGGAGCGGATTCGACAATGACTTCCCTCTTCGCAGCCATCAACCAGACTAATTTGATAATGTTCCAGCAGAACGAGCGTATCGGGATGCTAGAACAGGATAGCTCACCTCGCTTTCCCCCGTAGAGAACCCAACGCGAGGATTCCCGGAGCCTCTCTCCCCATCAACGGGGGCGCCGATCACAATTGGAGAAGCCCTAAACCGGGGCCTCCAAGAAGCGCGACCGGACACCTCCCCAGAAGGAGAGGCGCTCCCCGGCCCCGAGGAGGAATAGACCTGAGGGCCCGAGTAAGAGGACGAAGGGTCGTAATCAAGCACCTTGACATAATCCTTCCCCCTCACGCTCCCCTATCCGCAGTGACGAAGGCAACCACCGGACTCCCCTTTCGGGAAAAATCATGGAGACCTCAATCCTCCACGGGATGGAGAAGCCTCCCGCACTCTCCACCTACGATGGCACGACGGACCCGGACGACCGTCTAGAAGACATCGAGGCCATGCTCGATTATCGAAACGTCCGAGGAGCCATCAAATGCAGGCTCTTTCCGACGACTCTAAGGAAGGGAGCCATGGCATGGTACAAGAGTCTGGAGCCCGAGTCCATCATGTCGTGGAGGGTGCTGAAGGATCTTTTCTCACAATATTTCACGGTGTCCCGACACCATCCAAAGACGGAGGATACCCTAGACGCGATCATCCAAGCCTGGAACAATCTCTTAGGAATTACATCGAGAGATTCACGATGGAGGTAGTCCAGATGACTACTTCAGATGACATGAAACGTTACCTCATGGAGCAAGGGCTGCGCCGAGTCTCCAAATTTTACGAGGCCGAGGCAATCCATCGGCCGACCTCCCTCCAGGCCTTCCTCGAGAAAGCCCGAGCATACATCCGGTACGAGGAGACCGAAGCTGCCAAATCGGCCCGAGATTCTCGTAACTGCGAAGCTGCCCGGGGAGCTCGGGAAGAAGAAGCACCATCCCCTGGCGCGGGGGAGATCGACGATGAGATGATCGTCCCTAGGAACCCCGATAACAGAGAGGGCCTGCAGGCCGGTTCACTGGGTACACGAACCTCATCGCTTCTCGCGAGCACATCTTTCCTAAGTGCGCCAACTCAGAGTTCGTAAGAAGAGGTGTTTGTTTCCCTAAACTGGCATCCTCCAAAGCCAAGGTGGACAAGTCCAAGTACTGCCGCTTCCACCGCGACCACGGACATGTCACCAAGGATTGCATCCACCTCAAGGATGCAATTGAGATACTCATCAAGGATGGACACTTGAAGAGGTACACCAGAGGAGGAGATGCCCCTCGACAGGAGGCCCACGAAGCCAAAAGGGTCGAGGAAATTCTTCCGCCCGCCAACGACACGGGGCTGCAAGTGGCCCTCAGCATAAGTCAGCCTGAAAACTTGTTCTCTTTAAGAGAACACGGCTTCCCTATTGGGCACTAACTGCTCGAAGAACCAATACGTCGCATCAGCCTATGGGAATACTTCCCTACTGTGATGGTCATCTCAGGCAGGGCCCCAAACAAGTTCTCCATCGGATCCCTAAAGAGGAAGTTCGACGAGCTGATGAGCAACAGCTCCAACAAGATGAGCACCCTCGACAAGTTCCATGGTCAGTCTAACCCGATCACATATTACCTCAAGAAACTACCTGGGGGAGCCCCTAATGTCGTCATCCCCCTGCTGATCCGGGCGCAGATGGAAAACTTCGACGTCCGCCGTATCCTGGTCGATGGGGAAAGCTCAGTGGATATCACATATACCCACCTGTTCTCGACGTTGCAACTTGACGAGACCAATCTAACCCCTTATGTCGGCTCCGACCTCCAAGGGTTCAACGAGACGACGACGAGACCATGGGGATATGTGGAACTCAAGGTCACCTTCGGGACAAATGAGACGGCCAGAAAGGTCAACATTTGATTCATGGTCGTCGAGTGTCCATACCTATAGAAATGCAATTTAGGCAGAACAACCCTGGCAGACCTCATCACAGTGCCATGGACGGTCCACCTTAAGATGAAATATTACACTAGGCGGGGAGGTATCGTTGAAGGTGTGAGAAATACACAAGAAAGGGGGGGTTTGAATTGGGTATTTACTCCATTAAAACTTTTTCTTTGTTTCTTCGCTTGTTGCTTTCTATAGAGTTCTTTAAGATGCATTGCGGAAGCATATATAATAAAGCATAACACAAGTAAAGAACACATGATATATTCTGGTTCACTTGAGCAACTCTCAAGCTAATCCAGTCCACCCTTCCAAGGTGATTTCGCCTCACTCAAGCATGGACTTAATCCACTATAACCAAACTGATTACAGTTGCACAAGCTAACTGCAGGTGACTAAAAAATAGACAATGACGCGTTCAGGGATCCCTTAGGATATAACGTTCATTGACATCTAATAGAATCCGATCAATAAAGATCTCCTATTATATTCCACAAATGACAACTGTCACTTGTCATCTCAAGTATTCTGATCTTCACAAGATCACGTGAGGAGCCAATAATTCTAAATTGAATTTGTGTTGTCGGAGATTACATGAGTGCTTCTTATCAAGCAGATTACTCCTAATTAAGTACATAGCAAGTATTGAGCAACAACTTCTTGCTTCCTAATACAGAAACTAATCTAAGGATAAATCTCTATGAGATTGTAAGAACATTAGTTTCCATATACTTAAAAGTTTTTCTTATGTGAGCACTAAGGCTTCTTTTCATTAAGCTTTTTCTCTATCTTTCTCTGTTTGCCATATGCTTGCTAGCATGCTAGTGTTACTTTTCTTTAGCAGCTCCAGCTGTGTAACTCACTCAACAACAACAACATTTGAAATAATCAAATGATCTTCTTTTATAGTGCAGCTTTGTGAGGGTAGAAATGTCATCTCTAATTCCAACAGTTATATCCCAACGGATAGAAAAAGCTCACATGTTGGAACAGTGACCTTTGCTTGAACTTTAATATCTCAACATTGGAAACCACGCTTATGAATAGTACCAACGTCTTTGTAATAGTGAAATGTTTGCATGCGTTGTACTGTAGTCTTCTTGACTTGGTTCTTTTGATGATTCATCTGATGAGTAGTTCAACAACTACTTTGGTATGAAAGCTTCAGCATCAGAGTTGTTTAAGCACATGTGTATCAGATTTAATAGCAGCAGCTTATCTAATGAGCAATACGCCTTTGTCTGGGTGAA